TTTTTATGAACATGAGAGATAAATATCAGTATGACGGATTCTTTAATTAATTAATTTTGATTAATGTCATCTTTTTGTAGTCCTTATAAATTTTAAACTTATTATCAATACAAATTTATATCATAAATAAGTTAATTTTTAGTACTTAGGTTAGTTACGTTTAATGCTTGATCTTTTTTTTATTTAGTTGCCATTCAATAAATTACTTAGTAAGTAACTCTTAGTACAAAGGCTTAATTCAATAATTTATTGAATTAAGTACATTTAAATATGTACCTACAAAAATTAAAAAACGATCAAGTCATAATTTTATAAATGATTAAAATGCCTGGTATTATTGAAGTGAAACTTCTTTATCGGCGTTGGAAAAAAAATTACCGTCACATTTTTCGGTTACGCGTCACATTTTTCCGTTACGCGCCATCTTTTTTTATATTAATAGTTGATAGCTGAATGATCACACTGTCGCCGGCGAGAACTCTCTCTACTCGTTTGTAGCTGAGTGACAATAGTTATTAAAGATAAGACTCGCTCAGCCAAACTCGCATAGCGATACTCGCATAGCGATACTCGCTCAGCGATACTCGCTCAGCGATACTCGCTCAGCGATACTCGCTCAGCGATACTCGCTCAACGGTACTCGCTCAGCGATACTCGCCCAGCGATACTCGCTCAGCGATACTCGCTCAGCGATTCTCGCTCAGCGATACTCGCTCAGCGATACTAGCTCAGCGATACTCGCTCAGCTATACTCGCTCGGTTAAGCTGGCTTGGCTGTCAAAAGCCGTGCGCGTGCATTTTAACTCAGGACTGCCAATTCGTTTCTAGTTTCTACTCGCTTATCGTTCATCGTCGGAGGTGGAACATGTGCCTTAGATTACTGAGCCGTGTAATCATAACAGTTTCATAGGCAGTAATTTGTATTCATGTCTATGATAATAAAATCCTTTTGTTTAAACTTTATCTAATTTAACTTTATTTAACCAATTTCTGAAAAGTTGCATGTAGATCATTTTTCGAAAAATAAGGCCATAAAGAAGTTTCACTTCTTACGTGTGTACACTAGTACACGCACACATTTTTTTAATTTATATTTATAATTTTGACGACCTCCGCGGCCGAGTGGTTTGTACGCCGGGTTTCATAGTGTCACCGACTCGAGAGCTCCCGGGTTCGAATCCCGGTGGGGGCAGATGTTTGTGTGATGAATACGAGCATTTGTACTCCAGTCATGGATGTTTAATATGTATTTCTATATAAATATACTTATATATGTACAGCATATATATATTGTATCCGTTACCCTAGCATCCCATAACACAAGCCTTATAGCACGGTAATATTATCTATACAGTATTGTGACTCGGCCCTGTCCTTGAAATAACTGCCTACGGCCGAGCGGGGCGTATCCACGCGGTAGGGCTGCCCGCCTACAGTATTTTAATTTCTTCTACTTAATTGAGTTTCTTTCTAGTTTTGTGCTTGTAAATATTTTATTTCATATGTAAAAAAAAAGTGTGAATGAATTAGGAAGTGTTACATAAAATACATGTTATTTTAAGTGTACAAGTGTACATAAAAATATTTACGCCTCGACTGAGACGTACGAAAAGCTTTATTATTCAATTTAATAGTATACACAGTCAGGTCATAAGTATTGTCACACAGTAAAAACTTTTCTTTTAGAATGCTGGCCACAAAAAAGTGAAAATTTTGAATATATCCAAAAGATTCGTTTATCGTACCATCAAACGATACAATGAAGACTCTAGTGTAGATGACAGGTCAAGAAGTGGTCGCCCTCGGTCTGTTAACAGCAGTGATAAAAGCTGTGAAGGCGCGAATTCAAAGAAATAAGTAAGCAGAAACTGTTGGCTCTTCAGATGGGGTTAAGCAGAACCACGGTGAAAAGGGTGTTAAATGAAGACTAGAGGGCTTCGGGCATATTGAAGAAAAACAGGTCATCGTTTGAATACTCGTCTAATGAACCTGAGACTGAAGAGATGCCGCGCTTTGTTGAAGCGGTACGCGGTAAAAAAATATCGGGTAACTCCTTTTTCCGATGAAAACATTTTTACTGTAGAAGAGAGCTACAACAAACAAAATGATAAGGTGTACGCACACAGTAGTGAAGAAGCGAGCAACTGTATTCCGCGTGTCCAACGAGGTCATTTTCCATCCTCGCTCATGGTATGGTTGGGAGTTTCTTATTGAGGCTTAACAGAGGTACATTTTTGTGAGAAAGGTGTAAAAACGAATGCAGTTGTGTATCAAAATACAGTCCTGACGAACCTTGTGGAAGCTGTTTCTCATACCCTGTTCAATAACAGGCACTGGGTATTCCAACAAGATTCGGCGCCAGCTCATAGAGCGCAGAGCACACAAGACTGGCTGGCGGCGCGTGAAATCGACTTCATCCGGCACGAAGACTGGCCCTCCGCCAGTCCAGATTTGAGTCCGTTAGATTACAAGATATGGCAACACTTAGAGGAAAAGGTGTGCTCAAAGCCTCATTCCAATTTGGAGTCACTCAAGATATCATTGATTAAGGCAGCCGCCGATATTGACATGGACCTCATTCGTGCTGCGATAGACGACTGGCCGCGCAGATTGAAGGCCTGTATTCAAAATCACGGAGGTCATTTTGAATAAACTTTATTGTCATAAGAATCTATGTTTTGTTAAGTTCATTTTGGTATATAAATGGTTACATAATGAATAAACTTGTTTCAATTATTTTATATTAAACGTGACAGAATTTATGACCTGACTAGGTATTAAGTAGGCAGTCATATAAAATGTTTAATTATTGAAGAGTTCAAGCAACCAAAAACAGCACAATATCGACTATTGCTCTTTCCCATATTAAATTATGTAGGTATCTACTTAATTCAATCACATAGATAAATGATTGGTCTATAAACGTATTTCAGGTAGTTCTATTTTATTTGAATCGACCATTATTGGGTATTAGAATAATAATAATTGAGTTCCTACTAATTCTGGGAGTAACAGGATTGTTTAGTAGTCAGAATTCAATTGATATTTGATTATAAATGGTTTTTAATACAAACATATATGGGTTTTTACGACAGTAAATGTAACCATAAGCTTACCAAAAATGGATATACGACCTATACTTAGTTTTTTAAAGTACATTTTCATGGGGTGTATTAACCAAGAATTTATTTTTTCTTAAACGTAAATCCAAGCTAACTTTAAACTAAAGATATATAGGATTTGATGATTTAACCTTTATCATTTAAAATTTGTAAGATACTTTCTCATTGATAATTATTTTATAACTTCAAAATCAAAAAAGTTATGAATTTTTATGTAAAAAAAATTTTTATCTGCTCTCCTGAAAAGTCGGGTTTGGGTTTATACGACCTTTCTACCCAAATGTATCGCGATATTAAAATACTTACCTCACTGAATGCATTCACTTTAAAATTAATTCATTGAGCCAATGAGCTAAAACGGCGCTCTCACAACATAAGAATATAAAAATGGCCGCGCTCCTGCCAGGTGTCGCCACTGGATCAGATACACGGTGAATAAAAGTACGGAAACTGATGGTAATTGTAATCATTGGATGGAAGTGCTATCTCAATATAAGCTTTCAGTGAGGTAAGTATTTTAATATGCATTTTATTTCAGGTAAAATGCTGCTATTACTCATACTTACTTAATTATATTTTTGCTAGAGACCATTGAAATTTATAACAGTAAATGGGCCAATAGATGTGTTCGGAAGTGTATTGTCAAGTGTAAGCCTTCTGAATAGTAACAAATACTGAAATAAAGGATATTTTATTTATAATTAGTAGGAGAGGTAGCGGCCAACTTTTTAAATAAAAAAAACAAACGATATTTTTTTATATTAAATTTATTCAGTATTTTAACAGTGTATGAAATAGTTATATTATTCATTATACAATAGAAAAAAATGAAAATTGTTTTAATACAAAATTAACAAAAGTATAAACAGTATTTTGTTAATATTTCGGCACCAACATGAACACACAATAGGCTATATGTATTTAATATGAATATTAAAAGCGATTTTAATATTCTTAAAGAACAAATAATTAATAACTTTTCTATAAAATTATTGAGTAGAAATTTTGTTTTTGCTATGGAGCAAAAAACAAAAATTTCTGTCCATGGGGGCACGTGATCGAAAACGCCTAGGATTGGCTAAGACTAAGATGACGTCACACGCTAGCAAACTTCGGACCAAAGTGACATATTACATTGTAGTGTTTGACGTTTTAATGACAGTCGTGTGACGGCACACTCTAGTGAGACGCCATAATGTCCAGTGAAAGGTTTCCTCGGCAACTTGAAAATTTAATTTTTAATTTAGTTTTTAAACCACAAGAAAGAACCCCAGAAAGTACAATTTTGCCAATGTGGTCTCTCTATTAAATAAATGCACACTTAATATTAGTTAATAGTCGATCATTGAATGTTCTCACGACTGCGAAAATTCTATTTGCAAGGTCGCAGCGGCAACAACTTTCTCGATGTTTCTCAACTAGTTTCTAGATCTAATTGTCTTTCACTTAATCTTGGTTGTGAGCTAGTTGCCTGAGGAATCGTTCCTAAAGTTTTCTAATATCAAGGTATTCATCAATTTTACATTCGAAAAATATTTCTTTTCAAACTAAAATTTTATTATATTTATTCTTCAATATATACACTTGACGTTATTAAATATTTTTGAAATTCAAAATTTATATTTTAATAGTTATTCCTATGTAATAATATAGTGCCGAAGAATAGACAAGGAATTAACACTAAATAGAACCACGTAGAGTAGATATAGCAAGGCTTACATCAAAGCAAGCAAACAAGATTATTCTCAGATTTGAAACTTAACACTAAAGTTTAGTTATTGCTTGTTTTACATAATTATATGTATTCAGATGGCGGAAACAATACCAAAGTTGCCCTTGATGCGTATTGGAGTATACATGTTTTCCAATAGATTATTTATTCCATCGGCGGTAAGTCTCGTCTGTAGCCCTCCCACCTTGAGCTTATCCACCATAACCTACGACCTTCGATGAGGCAGTGCGTATAGCAGCTTCTTCCAAAACCACGGATCACCCCAACGCAAGTACGTGTTTGTAGAGAGATACGCACGCAACTCAGCATCCATATCATCTTCACACATATCTTCGAGGACTACGACTAGAACTCTCGCTCTTCTTTCCCGCTGAGACCTTAGATGTGCTGCACGGAACTCTAACAGAGCCCAAGAGGATTCCAGAAAGCTTTTCGAAAGGATAACTATTGTCCTCCTAGACTGTTCCACCGATCGCGCTATTTGTGCCGGGATCATATCGCCGATCAGCCAATCGCGATAATGCACGCAAAGCTGAAGGTTATTCTCCTCTTCCAGTTTCGGGACCAGTACATCGGCGACGAAACGTGCGTCGTTTTGCGAGAAAGATACGAAGGCGTCGTACTGCATGTTCTGATCTAAATCTTCTTCTTGAACAAGTTTTAAGAACCATCCTCTAGAGAATAGGAATACGCGGATTTCCAATGAGTATTTGTAGGCTAAAGCGGTAGCTACAATTACTATAATGCATAAGACTGCTGAAGTCCCTCCTAATAAGGCCATTTGTCTCACATAGCATGTCTTTGTATCCGACTTCCAGGGAGATTCACCATCCAAGCACGTAACTTTATCAGAGTCTAATATCCTATCTTTGTTGCTTTGGAAAAAAATGACTTCTTCTACGTGACTACAATCGCACAGGAATGGGTTACTGCTCAAACGTAGGCGAATATTCTTCAATAACTCCATGGGAGGTCGAGTAAGCGAATTGTTAGATAGATCTAAGTCTTTAACCGTTTCCGGCACTTCTGGAATCTCTGTCAAACCGATGCCACTCAAATTTAAGAACACTACGTAATCTGGCAACTTTGCAAACGTCTCTGGAGGACTGTGGAGTGTTAGACGCATTTCTTTAAGTCCAAATTCACTTGGCTCCGGATATTTCATCGGTTCAGCACTGCAGTCTAAATCTAAATACTTAGTCGCTGGTCGCGAGTAGCAAACACAGTTGGAAGAACAATCTGCGTCTTTCAACGGGCAAAATAATTGCTCAAGAGTCAAACTTTTGATCGAGTACCCTTCCAAAGATGGCGGGGAGGCACATTTCGAGTTGCCAATCTCGAATATAGGTTGGCTATTAAAACGTTTATTAAGTATTTGGATGAAGGTGAACAGCTCGCAGTCGCATCGGAACGGGTTTTCATCTAGCCGAATGACTGATATAGTTAATGGCTCAGAGGTGTATAACTTGGTATCAGCAGTAAAGTTGAATATGACTTCTTTCTGAAATGATATGAGTTTATTGAAATACAATTTTAAATAATATCAGTCGTATTACTTTAGTGAAACACGTCTAAACTACACAGCTATAATGCCTAGATTCATTTTTTTCATTTTTTCATGGACTCAATCGTTTGATGGACATGCGGAATAAAAGATTAGTTACAAGTAGTCTTTTGTCGATTGTATGTCAAACAAAGTAAAAGTATATTAGAAAGAAAGAAGAAAGAAAGAAAAATCATTTATTGATCTTAAAACACAAGTATGTAACAATAAGAAATTATATACCGATAAAAATAAAAACAAACAGTGAACAACAATATGCAGAAAGAAGAAAGGCTAATCAGGACCCTGCCTCAGCTTAATGCTGTTACAATAAGATCGGAATATTCCCAGCGCTGGTATTCTGGCAGGGCCTGTACGAGATTGCTAGAGTATAGAAGCTAAAATTACAAAATAGTATTAAAATATATATTAGAATACATGAACTGAGTTAAATAAATAAATATAGTTTATTAAATTCATAATGAATTAATATTAAGGCCGCAAGTGTTACCCACGTGCCCACACAGCGAGAGCCGAGCCCGGAGTGAAGTAACAGAACGCAACCCCAGCGGCCAGCCCGACAATGACACTGACAAATTAGTGAAAAATAATCTGTCTGCTGTAATGCCACGTTTACGAAACACGTTTTCATTGCCAATTTTCCACGCACGATGGAACGCCATTATGCCACGTTTAAAACTATGTTTGTGGTTTGAGAGACAAGAAAATAAAGTGTAATTTGTTTTTTTATTATGTGAAAATAGCGTCCCACTGCTGGGCGAATGCCTCTCCTTCTGCTTTTAATACGCATATAAATAAAATTAAAGAAAAGCTTTTTTTTAGGCTTTTATACTTTGAACGATTAACTTTTTTCTAACACAAATGAAATAAACAAATTACATTAAAACTAGCAAACCAGTGAACCAAATGTTCACCAAAAAAAAAAATAAAAAAAAAATGTATTTAATTAATTGAGAACTTCGGAGATTTTGTGTGGTTTTGTTTGAAATAGAAATCACGTGATTTCTCGAAAACCGGAAGTGCTACGTTACTCACATCCGGTTTGTAGTCTTATCAGACTATTCTTAACTTATAACTTAAACATTCTCTATATCTATCTCTTACGGTTTGGCCGCTGAAACAGCACCACGGACGGACGGACGGACTTGTCTAATAGATAAGAGATATTAATTTCGCTCAAAATTTGATCAAAATAAAATGCATTGGACTAAGAGTGGCGGTGATACCCGCACACGTCGCTAGGTGGCGCTTACGTTTTGTTATTCCGATAACCTTATATGGCGAAGTGGCAACCGGCCGCGTTCGTAACTAGTTTTCGTAAAGAGTTATAAATAAACACATAAGCCATATTACACGAGTGGGTAAGAGAGAAGACAGTGTCAAACAGACAGACAGACTAACGTATAAATAAATTTAAAAAAAGTCAAAAAGGTGCCAGGGTGTTTATATTAAAAAGTTATAAAAAAAAGTTTGGCCGAACATGTATTACGTAAACATAAGTGAATAACGTGAGATCGTTTTCTAATACTTCAAAGGTCAAATACCCTGTTGGTGTGAGGAGGCGGTGTGAGTAACTTTAAGCTTATGTTTTTGTTAGTCATTTAAAATGGTTCTCTAAATAGATAACCATGGGTGTGTGTGTGAGAGAGCACACTTTCGCACTTATAATATTAATTGAAATCCATCAAACGTTCATAGAAGTGAAATAAGCTAAAAGTTGACTGACCGTGAGTTTCGTATATCTGTTCCTGGACAGGTCTAACAGGCTTGGCTTCATCTCGAACCAGTCGGCGAACACGCGCTGCAAGTGGTTGCCGCCCAATCTGAGCGTGTCCAGAAACTTCAGCGGCGCGAACGGGGAGGTCAGACGGCTTTTCCTGATATACAAATACAACTATATTTATTAAAACAAAAAAACATACAGTCAGCTTATAACTGCAGTGTGTGTACTAGACATATTTTATGCACACATGCATCTCTCCTATTATATAAAGCTTTGCATATCAAATAAATGCTCTCCTAAATCGCAGTCAGTTGTATCATTTAACGGCCCGAACCGCCAACACTGCATGGCGACCCTGCCAGTGCTGCCCATCGGCGGCGCTGGGCAGATGGTTTTTATCAGTTTATAAAGTGTTAAAAAAACACGAACTAAGTAAAGTGTAATAAAAAGACAGTTTTATTGTTCAATAGAAATACGCATTCGACCGGAGCACGAGATTGTCCGGCTAGGGTCCATGCCGAACGCAGAATGGCGGAAATTACGGCCTACTAATGGCTCCAACAACTTCATGTACAGTCGGCCAAATTAATTTAGCGGGGGCAGATCATGCCACAGTGGAGTTAGCCCAGGTAGCAGAGGAGTTGGATCTGGACATCGTTCTGGCTCAAGAACATTACCCCAGACCAGAGTGGAGTGCCTAGAGCAGTGCGGTGAACGACCCAAAGCGTGCGTTTATGTCCGTCGTAGGTGCCCTCTTGCATCATCTCTCGACTATACGCACTGTACAGTGTGTCACTTACTTACCGACGAAGAGGGAATTTACGTGGTGTACACATATTTCCAATACAGCGACGGCATTAATGTGCACCTGGACCAGTTGGGCAGAGTCCTGGATTCCCTGAAGGGGAAGAGGGTCGTGATTGGGGTTGACTCCAATGCGCACTCTCCAATGTGATACTGCGAACCGCGGCAGTATACGGGACGTGGGCCAGACGTCACGCACCGCCGTGAGTCCATGGAGGCGTTTATTCTGGCCCGGGGCCTGCAGTTGGAGAACAGGGAAGGAGAGCCTTCGACCTTTGCCACTGCGAACGGATCGTCCAACATTGATCTCACATTAACAATGAGAGGCATCCCGGTGACGGGATGGAGAGTGTGGGAGGACAAAATTGCGAGCGACCACCGTCTCATTACATTTGAGGTGGCCTCAAGCAGGAGCACTCCACGCGCTGGGCTGCTAGAAGAGCTTCCGAGACAGGAATCGCGGTGTGGACTGGCCTCTCTTCGAGCGCCGGATCCATGGGAGGGTGGGCAACCTAAAGTGGAAGCGACCCGCCTCGGCTGTCTGTGCTCAGTTTGCAGCTCTTGTTTTGAGCACCGTGAAGCAGACGCTGGGGTTGGCTCAAGCTAGGAATGCGGACTCAGGACTCGATTGGTGGACGCCCGAGCTCGATCGGTTGCGTCAACTTAACAATAAGTTGAGGCGTGCCTGGCAATCGACTCGCCGGGCCGGTGGCCTGTTTGAGGCGGAAGCCAAGGGGCGCTTCCATGTGCATAGGAGTAGGTATAGGGTGGCCATGGAGGAGGCGCAACTTTTGCATTTTAGAAAGATCGCAGATTCCGGAAACCTGAACCCTTGGGGACAGGCCTACCGAGCCGCGAGTGAAAGGTCTAGGCCTCCCCGTTACGTAATAAATGGCACGAAGTTCGCCGAAGGTTATGCTGGGAGTGTGGACGAGGCTATGCACAGCCTCATGTATACTCTCTGTCCGGACGACGATGTGTCTAAGGACACCGAGTACCACAGGCAAGTGCGGTTAGTAGCCTCGCTCATACCCTCAGGAGAAGATGCCCCGCCTCCAACTGACAGTCTAATTGCGGGTATAGTCAAGGACTTGCCTAACACCGCACCGGGTATCGATGGGATTTCGGCTCGTATTATTGAACACGTCTGGGCAGCCGCGCCGGTAGAATTCTCTGAAGTGTTTAGGCGATTTGTCCAGGAGGTACGATTTCCTGATACGTGGAAGGACGGCAGGCTGATTGTCCTCCCGAAAGGGAATGACAAGCCGCTTTCCGATCCGAAAGCGTATCGCCCCGTCACTCTGCTACCGATCTTTGGTAAGATTTTAGAACGAGTAATGTTAAGGTGTGCTCCGCAAATAACCAGAGGTTTATCGGACTGCCAGCACGGGTTCACTCGGGGTCGGTCGACGGTGTCTGCTCTGAAGGAAATCATTAGAGTGGCTAGAGAGAGCTCGTCGAAATATGTGCAAGCGGTACTTTTGGATATCTCAAGGGCCTTTGATAATGCTTGGTGGCCCATGATCCTGCTTAAGGTTAAACGCGGAGGCTGTCCGCCTTACATCTTCAATCGCCGTGTGGGCTTGTTCGTGGGTGATCGGGTAGTGTGGAAGGCGGCAACGATGGGTTGCCCGCAGGGATCCGTGTTGGGACTTACCCCCATTAAGACCTACAAAAAAGTCCGCGAGAACATATATCTAGCTATCATGGATTAATCACAATAACCGATTTTGTGTTCAAAATAATTATTAAATCGTCTGAAGAAAAAAAAAAACCTACGTTAAATATGTATCGTAATATTAATCTTTTTCGAAATTAAGCATTATGTTATCAAGAGTATTTATGTAGAAGTAAAATACTTTTTGTTTCATCTCAATCGGATATTTCGTTTAAAAGTTATCACGTGTGTAAGATGTTAAGAGTTGGTATTAATGAGTTATGGGCCATAGAGTTTTTTAGCCACAAGAAAATAAAACGAAAAATATAATTTACTCAGAAGTACTTTAAAATAATATTCTAACCCGGTTTAAAGTGGACGGACACTCCCGCCTGTAGTCGTAATTCTTATGTGTCTGGCTGAATGTCGAACAGATAGACAGCTATTGCCTGCGACTTATGCAATTTAACTTAATCTATATTTTTCTTAATATTTTAAAGCTGAAAAGTTTGCTTGTTTGTTATGAACGCGGTCATCTCGGGAAATACTGATCTGATATGAAAACTGTTTAAATATTCAATAGTCCATTTATTGAGGGAGGCTATAATATAGGCAATAATTTCCACGGAAACGAGAAAAACGCGGTTGAAACCGCGGGGCACGGCTATTAATTTGTATAATTTTATATATATTTTCTGAATTTAATTTTAAAACCCTTCACTTCACTTGTTTTTTGACGTGACAACGTCTTAAATTAGGTTGCGGCTGGGAGTCACTTATGAAAAAGTGTAACGCTCGGTAACGTTACGATGAGTTTAAGTTTACATGTACAATGTTTTAGTAAACAAAATATATTTCTATAGTTAAAATTTGTGCAATTCTTATTTTCATTCAATTCCTTGTTCCTATTGTGCAATTTAATTATATTCATATCAATAAATATTCTACCGAGAAAAAGACGTTGTCACGTAAAATCTTCGCCCGTAAAACCGACTTTACAGGCAACCATTTTTTTTCCAAATATTATGCTCAATACCTCAATACCTCATCATCATTAGCCTATTTGTATGACTGAAGGGGCACAGCACAGGCCTCGACAGGAGCTCGAGATAATAAGTTTTTTGTCACCCATCAAATTACCGACCATTGCCAAAGTTGCTTAACCTCCACCCACGATCGCAAGCCGAACGCGCTAACTACCTGGGCTATCGATCTCCGTACGTACGTACACAATTCGTATTTCCGAAATATATAGGTTTAATATTTTTTTATCATTTTGGATTAAGCGTACGCTAGCGAAACACTCGTTCAAAGCACGGGATTGATCTTTGCCGAAAGCTTGAATCATTGCGTTTTTTTTCTAATTAAGCAAAATGATAAAACTATTGACTTCTTAAACCACTGAGGAAAACATTATCAGGAAAACAAATAACCTCAATTCACTGGTCTGTTAATTCGCTATCCTCATTATATAAAACAAAGAATGGATAAGCTTGGGTCAGTTACGCAGTGTTTGGTGACAAAATACTGCGTTTGCTATTATTAAGGTGTAAATCAATGTATGTATATATGTATCAGTCGCATCGCGTGCGTGACCGCAGCTGGCTGTGTCGCATCGCTTTGCTGTCGGTTGATTACGTTCGGCTTAAAATAGTGATATTCGAATATAATGGCGAATCGAATAAACTGTAATTCTTGTAACATTGTTATAAAAGCCACAAGTCGTCACAAGTCCAGTGTGGGGCGTGTAAAAAGTATTTAGACTTCAATTGTGCAAATATTACTGAGACAGGGTATAGAAAACTGGGACCTGAACGCAGACTCGCGTGGAAATGTCCCCAGTGTAAGCTGTCAAGATCATCTTCGCCTAGTCCGGGAGGTGATTCCGTCCTGGAGACTATACTTAGCGAGATACGTGATATGAAGCAACAGCTTTCCAGTCTTCCCACACTTGATGAAGATGTCAAATGCACCAAGAGAGAGCTGGAAGATCTTAAATCGTCTTGTGATTTTAATAGCGCCAAATTAGATGAACAAGAATTGAGGATATCTTTCTTTATTCTTTTAACTCTGCTGCCAATGAAATCACTGCCCTTAAGAAGGAGTTAGCACTAAAGAAACAGTGGGCACGGCTCAATAATGTTAAGATTAAAGGCGTACCTATGAAGTCTGGAGGAAACTTGTTCGAACTGGCTGAATCATTGACCATAGCATTTGGCTATAGTTTTCCGAAAACACAAATTAATTACATCGCCAGAGTACCCGTTTATAATAGTAACGAAAAGTCGATAATTATTAACTTTAACAATCGATACATTAAGGAAGAGTTTATTGCTGCAGCCCGTGCGAAAAAAGAGTTTGTAGCTTCAGATATTGGCTTTGTGGGTAATACTCAAAGAATCTTCGTCAATGATCATCTCACCTCGGATTATAATTATTTACTTACGAAGACCAAATCAATCGCCAAGGAAAAAAACTATAGTTATACTTCATATCTCTCCCGAAGATGATTACATATTACATGCAGCAGCTCACGAGATGATGCTGTCCTCACCACATTTAAGAGTTACTTAATCTTTTTTGAATTAAAAAAATAATACATCAAATTCATTTTATCTATGGACTATGACAGCCCGCCATCTACCGGCACTCACTGTTCCTACTCATTACTCGTTTTGGTGTCGTCCAAACCA